TCATTGCCAGAGCGAAACCACAACATGGCTTAAAAGTCGGTGAGATAATAACTGATATCCCAGAAACTCTCCACAGATTCCAGGAAGAGTGGTTGTGGATTGGGGGAGAGTGGCAATCCGAGAGCTTTTTCCATGAACCTCGGATTGACGGGATGACGATTCCGATGTTAATTCATTCCGGAGCAAGTGAGTTTATTTCGTTCTTTTTCAATTCGGATATATCTTTCTGATTTTGGTTTTGTTTTGTGTACTAACAGGTCGGAACTTTTACCTTTGTAGAAAAAGAGACTAAACAAATAGAGCCGAGGCTTAGTCCGGAGTTCGGTGGGAAGTTGATTACACTTGCTGGCTTGGACAAGGAGGTACGAGATTATTGCACACTAGTTGTAGATCCGAAACTCGAAGCTGCCGGTCTGTCTCCAGGAGTTTCTTTGAAATTTGACCCCGGTGAGTAGAATACTTTAGTATCTTTATCCGTACTGCATTATATGTAAAGCAGCTGACTATAACTTTGATTCATTTATTGTTTGTTTAATGTAGTATACTATCCGCTCCTCGGATTTTTGGGTTACTGCTCTGTTAAGGAAGCTAAGGATTTTAGGCGCAAGTATCCGAATAGGGATCTGCAATCCAAATTTGGTAAAAGTCGAGATCTGCGACTGACTAACGCCATGAGGAGGGATCTAGTTCGCGCTTTGGTGAAGAGGACAGCTAGTCAGAAGAATGCAAGTAAAAAATCGACCGAGGTGGGGTCGAGTGCGACCTCGGCTGCTGTTCCGGAGAGCCCAAAGTCTCTGAAAGAGGTGACAACTACCGAGGTGCCGCCAGTTGTGAATGCGGCTGCGATCAATCAAGCAGAGCCTGAGCCCAATGTGGTGGGAACTGAGGTGGCTGTAGTTGAGCCGCCGCACTCTGAAGCACGTGAAGATGAACCAGAGAAGCTACCATCTCCTTCGAGGTCGGTAGAGTCCACTCAGCTGGAGAGAAGGAGAAAGAGGAAACTGGTGAAAATGTCCGATGTGGGGGCCTCTTCTGGAGCAGAGAAGAGGTCAAAGAAGAAGCACGACTCCGGTCGCAAGTCTGGTGAAAGGAGGATTGATGAGGCGCCTCTGTTCGGGAAATCCTTCTTATCAATTGATGAAGAGAGGGCTGTCAAGGTGAAGGTGCCCGAGGGTGTCGTGGAGGAGTGGTTCACCACGTTTCAATCTGTGAAGTCTCCGCACATGTCTTCGAGAATTGATATGCCGGAGAATGCAAAAAGTGCCGCAAGAGTGCCCTTGATGGTATGGGACCCGAAGTCCGAAGTGGGAGTTTCTTCCCTGTCAAGCGTTGATAAGATGAGCTATGCCAAGGCGTGTTTGGGCCGAGCTTTAGTCAGTCTCGTTGCTGCTGAAGATGATCATAGCCGGATCGCGGCTCAGTTGGATGGGAAAAAGGACACCATTGCCGCTCGAGATGCCATGATAGCCTCGTTGAAGGAGGAGTCGGTTAAGGTGGAGGCCGACTTGAAAGGCAAAATCTCCGAACAAGTTGCGCAGTTGGAAGTGGCGCAGGCTGAAGTCTCGGTGTTGTCCGAGGAGAAAAAGGCTTTTGAGACCGAGGTGGTTGATCTTAGGGCGCGTCTTGCCTTTGCCGAGCAACACTCCAAGGCTTTAGAGGCCAAGTTTGAGGAGACGGAGAAGGTGTTATCAGATGAGAAGGCCGGGCATGAGGCAACTCGTAAAGAGTGTGCCGAGGTCCGCGAGCTTGTGGGTCGGCAGAGGGACGCCCATCAGGCCGAGATGGCGAAGCTTGAAAAAGAAAAATCATCCTGCGGGGAAACCATGTATGAGATCGGCTTCCAAGCTGGGAAAGAAACGGTTGCAGTTACGGAACCAAAGTCTGGGGATGATGCCGAAGTGGAAGCCATTGATGCTGGTGAGGATGATGAAGTCGGTGGGCCTGACCTCGAAATCGAAATGAACACCTGTCTGAATCTCCGATGGGTCATCGAGCGTTATGATGCGGGTTATTATGATATCGACGATATCTGTCTGTTCTTATTTCGCAAGCTCGCAAAGTACGGCTTTGACACCGAGATAAAGGGAATGCACGTGGAGGCCGACGAGGATGAACGGGAATTTTGTGTTTGGATGCTACGCCAATCTGAAGAGATGAATGCAAACCCCGACTTGCCGCCGCTTTCCAAGGATAGAACTGCTCTCCTCCGACGTGCTTATGTTAATATGATTTTGGAGGGAGAGAAGGAGAAAAGGAAGGAGCTGGCCGATGTGTATCTCTCAACTCTCGCCGATGTAGAGGTCGAACAACATTTTGATGATATGACCCCGGAGCAGATTCAGAGCAGGGTTAAGGCTTACATTGAGGAAAAGGCTAAGTCGACCGACAAGGAAGTCGAAGTCGTCAAGGTTTTCACGTCGACCGAGGGTGAATCAGATAAAGTACCGGATCCCCGCGATGAGTTTGTTCCGGTGTCAGATGGAGCTATTGAGACTGCTGCCAAAGCAAAGGAAACGGAGGTCTTGGAGCGATTATCTTCAGGGACCGAAATTGGGGAAGGCAGTGGTTCGGGCGACAATGTGGAGAAGACAACCGACGCGGCTTGAAGTCTGGAAGTATTATATATTACTGCACTATTAATTCTGAAATAAGACATCGGGGTGCCAGCATGTTGGCATCCTTAGTAGGAAATATATGAATATGTAATCGGGGATATCAGGTAGCTTATTCCCTTAGTAAGAAATATGTAAGGGTTTTCCAGACTTTTTTATGATATATATATATATATAATGTGTTTGCATAATGTCTTGATTTATGTTTGCTGTGCAAATTTCAGCAATTTTTCGACCAAGTGTTCTGAACTCGGTACGGATTTTAAAAGGAATTGCCCCAACTCGGATCTAATTATATCATTAACCGAGTTGTGGGTTTTTATGAGAATAATTTCCGAGTTCCGCTCTGATCTTACAATATTTTCAGCCACTAGCGTAATTTGGTTATGCGAACTTACTAAGAATTCGCTAGACTTAATACATTTTCGGGTTGTGCGTAAAACAAAATAGAGTTCACCGAGCTTCGTCAGAGTTCGATTATGGAATGGTCCCAACCGACTTATATCTTTGGTATTCAGTAATTGTCGGGACCCGTCAAATCACGTTTGTTGAAATGACGTTTGACGAGCTTCAATCCCCAACCAAACATGCGTAGGATTTGGATAGATTTCGTGGTATCAGCAAGACCGAGTGTCGCAATGCTTACATCAGTATAGCATGTTTATAGAACCGAGTTTCAAAACGTTTTACATCGGTACCGAGCAGTGGCTCGGATTTTCAAAAAGTGAAAGTCGGTAAACTTGCAGTACATCAAAAGAGTCACTTCATGCATTTAGTGAAGCAAAAGGAAGGTCCGTGAAAAAGAAGAGTCGGACATCCGACTTCGGACCATTTATTGATAGAACTTCTTCAGGAAAACAGAATTCCACGGATATTGATGTAGGGTTTCATCAGGGTGAGAAATTTGGTAGGCCCCATGAGGTAGGACTTCAACAATTTGAAAGGGTCCTTCCCACCTCGGTTTGAGTGGGCTGGGGTCGGCCCCCATCACGCGTTTGAGAACTAGATCTCCAACTTGGAACGTACGCGGCTTGAATTTGGAATTAACGTATCTTTCGCTCCGGTGTTTACAAGCAGCATTTTTTAGATCGGCGCGGGTTCGATGTTCTTCAAGGAAGTCCAGATTGGCTTTCAAGTTATCCGAGTTGGACTCTTCAGTAAAATGTTGAATTCGGTAAGTGGGTTCACCGAGTTCGACTGGGACTACGGCTTCTGATCCATAAGTTAGTGAAAATGGGGTCTCGACAGTGGAAGTTCGGGTTGTGGTCCGATATGCCCATAAAACGTGTGGCAATTCCTCAGGCCAAGCTCCTTTGGTAGCGTCAAGTCGGACTTTGAGGCCATTTTTTATGAGCTTGTTCACAACTTCAACTTGACCGTTGGATTGTGGATGATAAGGTGAGGAGAAGAAGTGTTTGATGTTATACTCTTCGCACAGGGATTCAAGTCGTTCGCCTTCGAACTGTCTACCGTTGTCAGTGATGATGGAGTTCGGTACTCCGAAGCGGCAGATGATTGATTTCCACACAAAGTCAATGACTTTCTGTTCAGTTATGGTGACTAGCGGTTCGGCTTCGGCCCACTTAGTGAAGTAATCAACTGCTACGATGGC